CCTCCGCAGACTGGCTGACTGCCGCCGCCGCCCGGGGCCGCGCCGAAGAGGTGCGGGCGCTGCTAGAGGCGGGGGCGCCGGCCAACGCGCCGAACCGTTACGGTCGGAGCCCGATTCAGGTGGGTTGGCAGGTCTGCCGCGGGAGTAGGGGAAGGAGGGCGACTTTGGAGGACGAAGTTTGCCAGGGAATCGAAACCAGGTAAGCGTTTCCTGGTAAAGGGGAGACTTCTTGGAGAGTTTTCAGGCGGAGTTTGGAGTCGGAGAGCTCCCCTTGAGGACGCCCAGGGGGCTCGGGAAGCCACCGGAGGAATGAAAAAGCACATGGGATTCGACCTCTAGAATGCTGTGAAGATCTAGAGGGGAGAGTCTATTTGTGTTAATGTAGACTGAGGTATGCTCTTTATCAGATGCAAAATTTACGAACGTTTGGAGAAAGAGTTTAAAGAAATGCAAGACCTGCTGGACCACTTAACCGCGAACTCACTGAGTCGAATTCACTCACTGAACGGAGCTGATCATCTTCTTTGTTAGGAGCGAGGGTGGGGTTGGGGGATGTGTGTGTGTGTGGAGGAGGGGGTGGATTTCAGTGGAAATCTACTGCTGTGTATGTTGGAATAAAGGTCGATTGGAATTAATCAGAAGTAATTACATACCGTGTTTTTGTTAAACTAAATAAGCAAAATACATACTTGTAAGAACTTAGGAAATACAGAGACATACATGAACAAAAACATTAATGTGACTTTGCCTGAAATAATGCTGTCAATCTAGTTACAGTTTGGGGGGTATCGCCTATTATTTTTGGTGTTTTAAACTTACTTGATATGGATTAATTTATTTGGCAGTTTTCAATTCCTCATTGTTGAAAAATGTAATTTCACCCCTCCCCACTCCAGTTGTGTGTGTGTGTGTGTGTGAGGGTGTTGTGAGTTCATTTTTCTGTTGGTTATTTTTGTGTTCACTAACTTCCTAAATTTGATGCTAAAGGCGAATTCTTCCTGGCAGTCACCACCCTAGTTTTAGTCCCAGTTTTGACAATAATTTCTGATTCTGAAAAATAATAATTATGTGAAACAAAAGCACATTGTAAAAACTCCAGCAAAGCAAGACAAAGAAAGTAACTCTACTTAGAATTTCACAAATTTCACAAGTGAATATTCCTTTCCTGAAACTACGCTACATGGGATAAATTTTATACATACTTTAATTTTTAATTTTTTTATTGAGTTATAGTCAGTTTACAATGTGTCAGTTTCTGGCATACAGCACAATTTTTCAGTCATACATGAACATACACATACATTCATCCTCATATTCTTTTTCACCGTGAGCTACTACAAGATCTTGAATATATTTCCCTGTGCCATGCAGTACAAACTTGTTTCTCTCTTTTATATATACCTGTCAGTATCTACAAATCTCAAACTCCCGGTTTATCCACCCCCCCATACACTTTAAAATACAGATATAAAAATAAAACTAAAATACCTTCAAACCTGAGATTATTTGGGATTTGAAATATGGAGAGATTTGTGGATAGAAAGGTTAAATGGTTGTAAAAGAGAAGCATGAATCCTTTTTTAAAAATGCATGCATGATTCATAATTTGATATTGCTAAAATTTTGCCAGCATCTTGCAGACTGAGTGTTCAGCCTTCAAGTTCTGTAATATGTTTGATGAAACTTTATTTGTTTAAATACAAAAAGAAAAAAGAAAGTTGGATAATTAATTTTTTTAAATAGAGAGGATAAGTGTATAGAAAAAAGGGGACATGATTTTGGCTTAGAACCCCAAATTTTTGTTTAATACAAAAATCCTTAGCTTATAGAAAAATTTTTAAACACTAAATTAAATTTATTGTCTTATCAAATGGATTTAAGCACCCTATAAATATTCATTTAATTGATTCATTTTCTTTTTCTTTGGATTGCTCTTATGATTTAAATATTTAAATATTATGTTATTTACTTTTCAACCTTTAATACTGTAAAATATAATAAAAACCTTTAAAACCAGTTTTATGACTGAGGTGAAGGACTTCATTTATCCAGTCCATCTGTTATATTTTCACCTGTGTTACATACAGACATGAGGTAGACATATTTATATTAAATTTGGCACTTTCAGTAGAGCTCCCAGAAGATTATGGCTTTCTTGGGGATGGCCCCTTTGTTCTGAAAATTGATCCCTAATCTATTAGAAATAAGTAGTTAGTAATGGTGTAAAAGCTTTCCCAGTTTTTCTTCTAATGTACTGTGATAGTTTTTCTTTCTTTCTGTAGCTGTTTTGTTAACTCATATTTCTCTCTCTTTTTGAAAATTAAATCAGTTTCACTTTCTCCAAGAGAGCAATCAACAGCCACAGTATAACCTATTATGATTCCTTGGTTTGTACAAATTGTGTTTAATACAGAATGTAAAAATAAGTAATTTCTCTTTATACAGTCGCTGTGGTCTAGCTAATATAACCAAATAATGGCTACCCTAAAAAAGAGTGGTCTACCATCACCATCCACCTTGTAGCACTCAAATTGTAAGGTTGCTATGATTGTGGACACTGTGTAAAAATTCCTTTTTGGCAATGGTGTTGTTTCAGAGATGATTTAGAGCCAGATGAGGTGAGCACCTCTTGTTTAATTAACTCTCAGAGTGTAATCTTGGAAAGTGCCTTAGTTTCCTATTTCTGCTATAACAAATTACCACAAATTTAGTATCTTAAATCAGCATGAATCTATTATCTTATGGTCTGGAATTCAGAATTCTAAAATGGATCCATAGAGCTTGCACTCCTTTGGTGGGGGTTCTAAGAAAGGATCCATTTCCTTGTCCTTTCCAATTTCTAGTGACCATCAATATTCCTTGGCGCATGGCCCCTGCATCTTCTCTCTGTCCTCTGCTTCCATTTTTATATCTTCTCTCCAACTATGACCTTCTCTAAAGGAAACTTGAGCTTACATTGGCACCACCATGACAACCCAGGTTAATCTCCTCAAAATCCTTAATTTAACTGCATCTGCAAGTTCTCTTTTGCCATGTAAAGTAAATATATTTGCAGCTTTTGAGTGTTAGGAAGTGGACATCTTTGAGGGCATTATTTAGGTTACCAGAGGAAGAAATTTTAGGGTTGGTTGGACAAATTTTTCTCATTGTATACTTGAAGAAATTGAAGTTTAACATTCATGGAAAGCAGGGTAGCTTTAAGTTTTGCAGGAATTAAGGTGATTTTTTTATTTTTGTTTTTAAACAATTATCATGTTCTGGGCTTGTATATGCAGCAGGGAACAATACAGAAATCTCTGGGCCTTACATAACTTCATATCAAAATGAGGAAGATACAGGAGGTTAGGCTGTAGTAAAAGGCAGTTTGTCCCTCACCCTTTTGCTGTTGTTTGTGACTCTGGCAGCGTTCTGTGTGTGGCTGGAACTCCACAAAAGTTTGGCAAATATAACAGAATTTAATGTGTACAGAAAAATGGAATAGGTAGGAGAACTGGCTAAGGGAGCTGGGAGCTGAAAGCACATAAGGAATAACTAGACCCTTGTGGCTTGCAAGGCGTTTGCACTGGGTGGGGTCTTCACAAATAGTTTCTTTCATACTGCCCCTGCCTCCATCCCAGTCCTCACCACTCTGCTCTCCC